CTGAGAGAGGCTTTAGTGCTTATGGAGACATATTTTCCTCCAGGAACAAAGGATAAAGTTGAGGCAATGATGTGCAATTGCAATGATGTGCAATTGTGACTATAACGTAACATTACTAATGTTGTAATTGTTATCTTAGATAACTTATCTATGTTATGTATGTAACATAATTTATGTTTATATTGACTCTTAAATATTTGACCAGTCTGCTCTTTTACAAAATACTTTATGGAAAATAAAATACTACTTCGTTTAACTATCACTCACTTGTTTTATTAACGTGTGTGACCTGCAGTTCCCTATTCAGATTCAGATTAAAAAAAAAATGAAAATGATGAATTCTTAACTCACTATTTCCTTCCAAATCTATAAGTACACATAATTTTCGCTTATTTTTTTATTTCTGCCCGAATAATTTCGCATAATTCCTTATTTTTGCCCGCATAATTGGCGCATATTTTCCCAATGTTGCCCGCATAATTGCTGCATAATATGGCACAATTCCTGCGCATAATTTGGAGTTTTCAAACGCATAATTTAGTTGCCCCTAGACATTTGACAGATGTCAAATGTTTAACTAAAATAAAATTGGATTTAAATTCTTCTTTTTGGTCGTCGTAGATAAAGTATAGTATGCAACTCGTTTTATAAACTTATCTAGACACTCGTTTTTATTAAACACTCGCTTGCAAGCTTCGCTCGTGCTTAATAAAACTCGTAACTAAAATGGCGTTTATAAAACTTGATACATACTATACTATTTAATAGTACACTTTATTAAAAAAAGCTTATAAATAAAAAAAAATCATTTTTAGTTGATTTTTGTAATAAATCATTTTTGTTTTTATTTTAATCATGATTTTTGAACCCTGCTACTAAATAGTTAACGAGATATAGTAATTGGAATAAACGATTAATATTATAACCATAATGAATGTCTCGCTTAACAACAGGAATAATGAACTCATTATTTATGTTGTTGGGCATCAGTTATTGGCCGATTTAAATATTAACTCTCCCAAATAACAATCGTGATTTCACGTTTTAATTGAGTGATATTCATGCGTGCGAGTAAATACGCAAACAAATGATTGTCATAGGTGAGGTATACACAACGTGAGTGCGACGTGATATCACTTCGTTATTTTATAACCGTGATTACATATTGATCGCCAAAAGTTAGTTCACTCGTAACTTACGAGTCGTAAGTTCACTGTAAGCTCAAAATATTTTAATACCCGTGCCCACGGCAGAAATGCGAGCAAATACGCATACACACAAAATAATAAAGTATTTATGTGTTACAAATACTTCCCAGATGTAGATATACGTATAAAAAAGTTACGATGATATTATAATATTATTTAAGTTATTTATGAATTTATTTTATAAATTGTATATTAATATTTATTTGTTACTTATGAACGTATGATACGTATAGAAAAGTTACGATAATATTATAATATTATTTAAGTTATTTATGAATTTATATTATAAATTTTAAATTAATATTTATTTGTTACTTATGAATATATTTTATGTTACTTTATATGTCTTTAATAAGATTTATTTGTATTTAATAAAATGTGTTAACACAATTATTATTACAATTAATTAATTATCTTAAGATAAATAATCTTTTTTGTTCTCATGCATGCAAGCTTATTGAACCTTAATAGGTATTTAGTTACAAGAGTCCGAAACTCTCAGAAATTATCAGAGATTTGGGCAAATAGGATTTTAAGCCTCCCAAAATGTATTTGCGCATGCCTCTAATAGTTTCCAGAAGTTGCATGCCTTATTGATCGCATTCTGACCTCACGCGTGACTATGACGTGCGAGCGTATTGATCGGCAATGACTGACGCATCCTGATAAGACGTGTGGCATCACGCGTGACCGAAAAATCGCACGCGTAATCTCATCATGCCTACTATGCCTTCAAAATGTTATTTGGGCTGATTTGAACCAATCGAATTTTAAATTGAGACAGGCGACTATAATTATACTAATCTACTCCCACATTGACAAGCTGTGACTTTATGGCGTTTTAGTCACGGGCTGAAGTTTGCTTTATTATAAATTGCAAAAAAGTGAGGTTAAATTTATCAAACGTCAAATATTTAACAATTAAAATTGGCTTTAAATTTTATGGTTTCGTCTTAGATAAAGTATAGTATGCAACTCGTTTTAATTAAACACTCGCTAGCAAGCTTCGCTCTTGCCTAATAAATCTCGTAACTGATATGGCGTTTATAAAACTTGATACATAATTATGTATCAATCTTACTTTCTACCAATTTTAATAGTATATTAATATACTATTAAAATTGGTAGAAAGTAAGATTAACCATCTGAAAGATGTCAGATTTTATTTATTTATTTTTAAAAATTATTTAATTATCTACTAATTGGAGTAGATAAAGTATAGAATTACACCTGAGATTATGCCCAATATTCACTCGGACGATTTGCGTCCCGAGTTGCCATTTTGAAAAATAGCCTGCATTATCTTGTATAATAATATAATATTATCTTTAATCGGCCTATAATTTAAACTTAATTTTTTTCAAAATTCGTTACTAAAGTGATTGATCATGGCCTAGGCACCAGTCGGGCCTAATAATTCAATATTTGCCACTTTGTACTAATACAAAAAAATATCTTGTGTCAGATCGGTCTAACCTCAATTTCTATTTTCTATAATTGTATGTTTAGTAAAATGCTTAGATTAATTGATTCAAAGATTCAATTATTGGCCCAATGACAATATATATATAATACATGCATAACACACTATAATATATATATATATATATATATATATATATATACAGGGTGTTTCATAATTTATGCGCAGGACTTCAGGATGTGATAGCTCATCCAAAAAGATGAAAAAAGTCGCTATTAACTTACGCTATAAAATGCACAATTTTCGAGATACAGGGTGTTGAAATTTTAGAAAAAAAATCGTTTTTTTCGAATATCTCCGGAACCGTTTATCGTACAAAAAACAGCTTTTGTAAGCATTTTCTACTCAAAATAAGCTATGTTTTGTGCAAGAAAAAATTTTTTTTCCTCATAATTGGTGGAGATTTTGAAGGGGTAGCGGGTGTTTTTCTCCTTAACTTCTACGCCCCTGAACAAATAACGGTTTTGAGAGGCCCATTCGAACCGCCAATTTTTTATACACAAAAAAGGTACTCTTGGTCATAAGCTCTGAACTTGACCGTTTTCGAGAAAAATCAACTTTTATGTTTAAAAACATGGTCAATTAAAAAAATAATAATTTTTTTTTCACTAATTAAACAAAATTTATTTTAACATTAGAACAAGTAACAAAACCAAACCATAATTGCAAAATAAAAAATGATTCAAAAGTTGTCTTTGCTAAATTCTCCAAACCGTAAAGGTAACGCATTTCGCACATTTCAGCATTTGTGTAAAAAATCATTTTTTATTATTTTTTTTAATTTTGCAATTATCGTTTGGTTTTGTTACTTTTTCTAACGTTAAAAGAAATTTTGTTTAATTAGTATTAAATTTTTTTTTCAAAAAATTGACCATGTTTTTAAACATAAAAGTTGATTTTTCTTGAAAACGGCCAACTTTAGAGCTTATGACCAAGAGTACCTTTTTTGTGTAGAAAACATTGGCGGTTCGAATGGGCCTCTCGAAACCGTACTTTTTTCAGGGGCGTAGAAGTTGAGGAGAAAAACACCCGCTACCCCTTCAAAATCTCCACCAATTATGAGGAAAAAAAAATTTTTTCTGGCACAAAACATAGCTTATTATGAGTAGAAAATGCTTACAAAAGCTGTTTTTTGTACGATAAACGGTTCCAGAGATAATCGAAAAAAACGATTTTTTTTCTAAAATTTCAACACCCTGTATCTCGAAAATTGTGCATTTTAGAGGGTAAGTTAATAGCGACTTTTTTCATCTTTTTGGTTGAGCTATCACATCCTGAAGTCCTGCGCATATATTATGAAACACCCTGTATATATATACTAATTTTTTTAAAATATTGACAGGAATTTAGAGTTTAAATAAAAAATCTTTATTTAATTTATTATTAAAAGGTTTCCAACAATATGTTTTAAACATAATTTCAATTCGGCTGTTTTTAAAAAAGCGCATTTCGGTCCACTTTTCGTGAATTTTGGGCTCTATTTGTCCTAAACATTTTAGGGTTTTTTTCAGCATACAAGTTGTATGATACAACAAATACTTTTTAGCATACAAGTTCTATGATTCAAGTTGAATCATTCAACAAAGACTTTGCATAGCCCCACAAAAACTAATCTAATGGCGTCAAATTACACGATCTCTGCAGTATATACTGTACAAGAAATCCTTGACTTATTAAGAAATCGATTCTTATGATACGTAGCTCTAAACTGCTGGAACCACATATTGTCCGAATCAATGTTGTTCATATTATCGAAGAAATAATCACTGTTTATTGTCGGTTTTTAGCTTTGCCTCATGCAGTGTAAAAAAATTACCCACAACACTACCATAACTATCACGTAATCCTCTTAGCGTTCCGCGAATTGAAGACCGATTTTTAATATACTGCCGTGCTTAATGAAAACGCCGTAACCAACAATTTTGCGATTTTTGGTTTACGGCATTTTCTACTAGAACAATTCATCCTGCTTCTATCCCCGGTACTCAAAAAACCGTATATATATAGATACGGTTTTTTGAGTACGGGGAATAGACGCAGGATGAATTTTTCTAGTAGAAAATGCCGTAAACCAAAAATCGCAAAATTGTTGGTTACGGCGTTTTCATTAAGCACGGCAGTATAGGTTTTGAAAGATATGAAAGCATTTTTTAGGTTTAATGATATTTAAATCATATAGGTACCTAATTAATATTAAATTATATTACAAAAAATGACAGCACGGTTTAAAAGCAATTCACATTAAAAGATCTATTAGTCTTAAAAAAACCTTTTATATATATGTATATAATATGGATATTTTTTTTTAGAAAATTTACTACAAGCACCACGATTTACAAAATCACTTTCAAGTAAGAATACAATAAGGATAGGAACTGTTAAAATTATGCAGTGTCAGGTCGTAGGTAAGTTAAATTAAAATAATAAAACAATAATAATAAACTAGGTATATCTAATATAAAATCCAGGAAAGATGTTTTATCAACAATTTTCCATCATGACACGTTTTTTAATGATTCTTCTTTGAAGTTTTTAAAAACCAATGGACACTTTTAATTTATGTATGTACGTTTTAGCCAAAAGATTATTATACTTACCTGGATTATTATTGGGAGAATAATTTAAAGTATTATTGTGACATTTGTCTTTATTGTTAAGGCATTGTGGTTACCTAAAAAAAATATATATACACTGCCCGTCAAAATTAACGCATAATAAGTAAAAAAAAAATCTAACTCTAAAACGCCTTTACCAATCTTTATAAAATTTTGTATAAAAATAGTTCAACTTATATCTCAGGTTACGTGTTCAAGGGTTTTTCAAAAAATATTTTTAAATCCCATTAATTAAATAATATAAAAAAACGTTTTAAAATTAACTTTTAGAGCATTTTTTTAAGTAAATTAAAAATATGGTGTTAAAGACCGTATTTTTGTAAGTATACCCTAAAAATTTCAAAGTCGTCAAAAATGACCATTTTTCAGCAAAATAATCAAAAAGGGGTATTTTTACCGACTTTAAAGCGCTGTATCTTTGTTACTGTTCGTTTGATTTGTACAAAATTTTTAGGGTAAGTGTATTAACAAAAATACGGGCTTTAACATCATATTTTTAATTTACTTAAAAAAAATTCTCTAAAAGTTATTTTTAGAACGTTTTTTTTATTACCTAATTAAAAGGCTTTAAATATTTTTTGAAAAACCCTCGAACACGTAAACTGGCATATAAGTTGAAGTATTTTTCTATAAAAGATTGGTAAAGGCGTTTTATTATGCATTAATATTGACGGGCAGTGTATAAATATTTAAAATTTATATATTGATATATATATATAGGGTGGGTCAAAAAAACCGACTATTTTTTTTTTACTTTGTACTCTGAAAAATCGATTACTAGACAACTCTAGAGAATTCTCACCAAACATGAGCTCTTAATTTTGATAACAAGGTCCTCCGCTTTACAATTTTCCATTTTTTCCTCAGTATTAGAAAAAAAAATTTATATCTCTTCGACAACTGTTCGTTAAAAAATAACTCTCCTCATATTCTTGTAGGAAATCGAACGCTCTACAAAAAAGGTCTCTTACAATTTTTTCGTAAACCTCACCGTTAAAAAGATACCAAAGGTTAAAGATTAATTATTTTAAGAGAAATTTCTGTTTTGCTTATGAATTTTATAACTCGCTTACAATTTTTTTTTATGAATCGCGGAACTCATAGTTTTGTAGAAAATTAACTGCTCTACAAAAATGGTCTCTTATGATTTGTCGATTAAATTAAGCGTTTAAAAGATATTCATCGTCAAACTTCAATGCATACTAATTTTAACAGTTTTTGATGAATAATTCGAAAAATTTCAATTTATTTTTTGAGTTTTACGAAAATATATACGAGTTATAAAATTCATAAGCAAAACAAAAATTTCTCTTAAAAAAATTAATCTTTAACCTTCGATATCTTTTTAACGGTGAGTTTTACGAAAAAAATGTAAGAGACCTTTTTTGTAGAGCGTTCGATTTTCTACAAGAATATGAGGAGAGGTATTTTTTAACGAACAGTTGTCGAAGAGATATAATTTTTTTTTCTAATACTGAGGAAAAAATGAAAAATTGTAAAGCGGAGGACCTTGTTATCAAAATTAAGAGCTCATGTTTGGTGAGAATTCTCTAGAGGTGTCTAGTAACCGATTTTTCAGAGTACAAAGTAAAAAAAAAAATTGTCGGTTTTTTTGACCCACCCTAATATTATATATATATATATATATATATATATATATATATATATATATATATATATGTATGTATATATGTATATATATATATATGTATATATAAGTTAAGTTTTTACTTAATAAAAAAACACTTTTTATTATAAAAGACAAAATTTTATTTTACAACTAAATGGCAGAGTTACGTACAATATGAGATGCAAACAGAGAATGATCTTTACATATGTAATTGCAGTTTTTAATGAGAAACTAAAAATGCTAACTAAACAAATTAGTGGTGGCTCACATAACTCCTCCCTTATCAGAAAGTTATTTGGGGGTCGATAGTCTCCAAATTAGTTGGTGTTGGTTGAGGCGTTGGTTTTTTCAGTAGGCAAAGCGTACGTTTTTTCCAGATGTACAGGGACAAACATAACATTCCAAAACCATAAAGCAAAAATGTCCAGATTGGGTGAATTTCCAATTTAGGTTCCTCCAAAGGAATTTCTTGTAGAGATGCCTTGAGGTCCATTAGATCGTCGAGGTTTATATCTTGGATCTTCACAGGATTGATAGTACGTTTTGGGTCGAATTTGACTTCGTAGGTTGTCATAAATGGTTGCTTCTCATTAATTTCTATGTCGGTGCTTCGGATGACTTTATCGTCAACTATTATATGACAGTTGATCGACTTGAGCAGACAAGGTTGTTTTACAATGAGTTTCGTTACTTTGCCGTTACAATCTTCTGTGATGGTTGCTTTTGATTTCGGTATTATTATCCAGTAATTAGAATCGGTCACGCTTTGGACTATCGTGTTATTAAAATTAACAGGCGTTAATTTACAGTTGGTTTCTTCTTTAAATTCCATGATGTTTGTTTCACAGATGTTGGGGTCGTCTAGTTTATCTTCATCGGAGTAGTCGCATAAGTAAGTTGTTCTTAATTGCTTACAGTTTAACTGGTTATCGAGGATATAAGTTTTATCAGATTTTAACAGAAATCTAGCTTTTGGTATAACTGCCATAAAGGTATTATTAATTTTTTTTGGTATAGAAAATAAATGATATACGCTAAAATTTGCATTGTTTATTATTGGTATATCCAAAACAAAAATTAATTTAAAATTGAAAACATAAGAGCTTACTTTAATAATTTTTTCGTAATCAAATATATTATTATAATCAGGTTTTATTGGTAAGTTTAATTTTGTATTTAATAATGTGAGTTCGTGAAGTAAGTCATAGTTACTCAGTATTGAAGAATGTAGTTTGCCTAATTTTGAAAAGTTTATTGCTGTATCTAATTCCAAAAGAGTTAATCTAAGGTTCGTTATCATTCCTAGAATATAATTAAATATAAATTTAATGTGATTATTTGATTGAACATTTCTACTCAAATATGCTATTTTATTGATTTTGTCTTGAAGTATATGCTCATGATGTTGTATGGTTGACATAGTTGCATTAAACTTATTTATTAATTTTCGCGATATTGTAATTTGTTTGTTTAAGTGAATCTGGAGATCTTTTTGATTATGTTGTAATTTATTCAACAGCTGATCGTAGCGTTGGCCGTCGTTATCATCGAGGTTTCCGGTTACAGTTTTAATTAGACTACCTAAACCGTTTACAAGTCCGCGTTTAGATTTTGGTTTTGACGAAATAAACAAGAGTCGGGAATTTAGTTCAGAGAGAGAATGTTGGACAAGTTTTTCAATGTAATCAATTTGTCGTATTGGATATTAATTAAATTTGCCTCGTTAACAAGGGGATTTAGGTCCTTATAAAATAGTAGTTTTTGATAAAAGGCAGTTACAAAAGCTGTGTCAGTTAGAAATGGAAGTAGTCCTGGGTTATCTTCTAAAGTTTCAAGGGTCTTCTGAATATTTTGAGATTGGGTAATCCACGGTAGGTTCACTATTGTTAGAAGGCCCAGGTATCGGCTGTAAGAAGAAATTTTCGTTACTTTCTATTGTTACTGGTGGCCTGCGGATTGCGTTAATATGTTTTTTCTCTGCTTTATTAGTACGAATTGTTTTTCGTGCTTTATTGACGTTAAGTACTATTTGTGGTTGATATTTATTTGTTAGTTTATCGGTGCGTTGTTTCGATTTCATAAAGACTTTTTGATTCACTTGTGGTTCGAAAAGTTCACGTTTTTCGTTTAATTTTGAAATTTTTTTAATCTTATTTTGATGAAGGTTTTTGTTAATTCGGTCGTAAATTAATTTTATTTTTTCTTTATGAGTTTGGGTATAATCCGTCGCCAGCCGAGCTTCTATATCTAGATCGGTCAAATTATCATTTTCGAGGTGTCCGCTAACAATATCTAAGGGTTTAAGTTTGGTACTGGAGTGAATACTGTTATTGTATGCCAATATTGCATACAACATAAGAGTTTTAACGTTGTTTTTTGGAAATTGATTATTTAATAACCTAATGTGCTCAATAAGAGTTGAATGAAGTCTTTCAACTGGTGAATTAGACTCTGAGTGTTCCGCTGAACCAAAGTGAATTTTGATTTTATGTAAATCTAAAGTTCTTTTAGTACAAAATTCTTAAATTCACGACCACGGTCTGAGACGATTATTTTTGGTAACCCATAATGATTAAAAAATTGGAGTAATCCTTCGACTATTTCTATTGAATTGGCTGATTTTATTGGGTAAGCTTGTGATAATTTAGAAAATTTATCAATAATAGTTAAAAACTTTTGATGTCCTATTGTAAAAACATCTATATGGAGTATTTCGAAAGGTTTAGTTGGAGTTGGTGTTACATTAAATTTAATTTTTAAAGGATTTCTTTCGTACTTGGATAATTTACAAATTTCGCATTCATTTATATACTGTTGTATTGATTTGCGCATATTTGGCCAATAATATTTATTTTTTAATTTTTGTTCCGTTTCCTCTATGCCTCTATGGTTTGTTTTACCTAGATAATAATTTTCTAAAATGTCTTTTTGTTCCTCTTCTGTTGTGACGTCAGTTAAAATTACATTTGTTTTCTGCAAATTGTATGATGGGTATTGGAATGTTTTTCTTACGATTTCACAAAAGGGTTCATAAAAATCTGGATATTCGAAATAAACTATATACTTGATATTAGGGACAACAAAGCCTTTAATAAAGTCGATGACTTGTCGCTCAAAGTTTGATTCTGCGAGTTTCACGTGAAGTCTTTGTTTTGATTTA